TGTTATTTATTTTGCCTTCTCCCACCTTATTAAAAAATCACAATTGTCAAAGTTTTAGCTGCTTTCTTGGCCTTTTAAATCAGCTCGAGTTCTATAGATTAATTTTACTGTTTTTTTTTTTTTAATTTTCCATTTTGTTAATTTCTGCTTTTATCCTCATTGAATTTCTTCTTCTGATTTCTTTCAGTCGCCCATTGATTTTCATTTTTTATTGCTTTCTACCTAAGCCTTTGACTATCCTGAGTACTGTCATAGCAAAATCTCACAAGTTTTGATATAAATATATCTATTGCCTTTTCAGTTCTAAATAGTTTATAATTTAGATTTTAATTTATCTTTAATTTATTAATTACTTAAAAATTTTTCCCCCAGTTGGTACAGAATTTTAATTTTGATTTCTAATTTCATTGCATTGTAGTTTGTGAAAATGTCCTATGTTGTAAACTTTCTTGAATTTATTTTACTTTCTGTCCTAGGACTAGTTAACTTCTGTAAATATTCCATTTGTATTTTAAAGAACTATACGTGCTCTATTTCTTATGTATAATACTGCAAAGAAAGAAGATTAATCACTTTTATTGATTGTTATAATGTTCCATATTATTATTTTTTCCACTTTTTCTGTGACTTTCTGAGAGCTGAATGGTAAGTCTTTCATTATAAACTTAATTTGATAGTTTATCCTTGTAGTTTTCTCAGTTTTGGTCTCAGACACTTTGAAACATTGTTATTCATCTCATAGAGATGTGTTACTCTGGAAACCTCTCTATGGCTTGCTCCTTTTGTCAGTATGAAAAGTCCTTCTTCATGTCTTTTAGTGTTTTTTTCAATATTAACATTGTGACATCTGATTTTTGCATATTAGCGTTTGCTAATATAGCTCTTTTCATCTCTTTATTCTCAATCTTCCCGTGTCATTTGGTTTGTGGTATGTCTCTTATACATACTTTACTGGATTTTGATTTTTTTAATCTAATATAAAAGTTCTCAACTTTTATCTAGTGAATTTAAAGCATTCTCATTTATTGTGATTTCTGATATGCTTGGAATTATTCTTGTTGTCTTATTTGCCTTTTTTGTATTTATCATATGTTCTAGTTTGTTGTCTCTTTGCCCACCTTTAATTGGACTGATAGATTTTTTCTTAGTTCTGTTTTTCCTTTGCTATTTTAAACTATATTATTTGTTCTATCTTTTTGTGATTACCTTAACATTGTTACCATAAGTGTTCAAACACATTTTTCTAATATCTAGAGTTAATCAGTATCTCTAATATTCCTCAGAACAACAAGAAAAAAGGCTGAGCACACTTTGTTTCCCCTGTTCCCTTGGACCTTTCATCTGTCTCACCTTTTAATCCTCATTAATATTATTTTGAATTTTACATCCATAAGTATATTTAATTTCTTAAATAAACATTTATTTAGACTTAATTTTTTTTTACTTTCTTTACTGCCCATTACTTCTTTTACCTCATTCCCTCCTCCTGGGTTTCTTATTATTATTTTTGATTTATGTTGTTTAGCAGTTCTTTCAGAGAGAATCTTGAGGTAGTAAACTTCAAAGTTCCTTTCAATTCTAAAGATACCTCTATTTCTGCCTATCATTTGAATAATAGTTTGGCTGGGTGTAGAATTCCATCTTCAAAGTTATTTTCCCTTACAATGTTGAAGATATTGTTCTCCTGTCTTGTTGTATCCTGGGTTTCTCACAAGGATTCTGATGTCAATTTGATTCTTATTTCTTTATAAGTAACCTTTCTTTTGACCCTGACAGCTTTCAAGATTTTCTCATTATTTTTGATCTTCACAGATTTCATCACATTATATCTACGTGTGTGTGTGTTTATCTTTAATTTATCCTTCAGCCCAGAGGATCTTTAAAAGTCTGAGAAATTTTCCCATTATGTTTCTTTTCCCCCAATTTTCTCTACCTTTTTCCATCTGGAAGTACTTTAAACAGCTGTTAGAAGCTCTGTGTCATGCCGACTCTTGAATCTCATCTTTCCACATCTTCATCTCTGCTCCCACTACCTGGCTTGGGGCTGTGGTATCCTTCTTCAGTCCACACTCATCTGTTTCCATTTTTCAGGCCTTTCTCAAAGTTTCTAGTCTACTATAGTTTACCAATTATTTTACGAAATCTTTTCTATCATCCCTAAGGATTTGGGGTGAAGGTGCTTTGTACATGAGGGTGATAGGTATAAACAGTGCTTGGTTTGCCGATTCAAATACCTTTTCAAATTTTGTAATATTTGTTAACTACACTCATGAGCTTTACTATAAAGTGGGACCAAATTGGGTTTTGGCAAGACAGGTGGAGCAGAAGAACTGGATGACAAGTTGAGGTGCTAGTTATTCTCATGTTGGGAATGGCAAGATGTGAATCCCGGTTCCTGTGGGAGTCAAGAGCAGAAACATGGAAGCTGAATAAGGAGAAGCTGTAAGACCAGAGGTCACAACAGTGAGTCCGGTGGTAGGAAGAATCAAACAGGTGTCAAGATATGAACCTGTTTATAGAAAAGGTGAATCAGAGTTTGAGATTTGTAAGTGGAAAAATCCCCAGGACTGAGGGGATCCAAAGGATGGTTGATCTTTGAGTGTTGCTGATGCGAGACTGAGGTTATGTGGGAGAGAGATCAAAGAATCCTGAGTCCCGAACATTAGAATGGCCACCCTTGTAGAAATTGACGCAACAAATGTGGAAAATAACAGAGTTTATTTGAAAATTGCAATTTATAGAAGTTGTATTTTAAAAAGACAGCTTAGCAAACATAACGTCAGTAGAAAATCAGTGTGTGTTCTGTTATGTGGAGTGTTTGAGTTTGTACTGATTCTTCACGTGATGATGAAACAATGTGTCCCCATTTCTCTGTTTCTCGGGATCATGGATTTTGCTGTGCTCTTTATATGAGATTACTTTTGTGACTTTAGACCTCTCTCGCCCACAAATACACATTCCTTAGGTTGAGACAGCTCACCTCCACACTTGGAACACTTTCTGGACATAGGTGAGTATCCATCTGACCATCGTAGAATGTGATTGCCCATAGAAATAGGTCTTACTTCTCTAGTGACTATACATTTTCCCACACGTGTTGTGTCCATATTATCGTCCAGAGAGACATGAATTATTGAAATAAATGTCAGTAGCCCAAAATTACGTGTGCTTCAATTTGTATTAGAATTACAGTGAGTATCAGGAAGTCCAAAAGTAACAAACATAACACAGAGAGAGCAAATTAGAAGTTTCTGTATTGAGACATTGAGTATTTTATTATTTCTTATAAAATTTCAGCGCGTCCAGCACTCAGCATTTAACATTTCAACAGCTTATATGGTTTTATATGACCCTATATAAACAGTTTAGAAATGGAGACGGAATAGCTTTGCTAGCACTTACAGTTGAGATAAGACAAACTGGTGGAAGGCAGTGACATGGGAATGAGAAAGTATAACTAGTCTTCAGATATTGAATGGAAGAGTTATCTTTGAACTTCAACTTGGGGTCAGGGACTACAGATCAGGAATGAGTGAAGTAGTCAGCCTGCAGGTATCTAAACCTTAACTTGGAAAAAAAGTCTCAATGTCTCAAGTATAGAAGGAATCACAATTGGTTAAAGCCACTGCATTATGCCTGACATGGGAGTAAGGGTGTGAGGAAGAGGTTCAAGAAATCCATGACTTTGTTGTACTGAAAGCCGTATCATCGTTGTAAAAATAAACTCAAGTACTAAGTGGATTTAAGTACTATGTAAAATAAGGAATCTCATGCTGAAAAATGGTCACACCTGTTGTATATAATAGAGGTGCTCAGTCGAGCACTTGCTGTCTGCCTGCCTGCACAGTGCGACTCAGCTTCTGTACATTCTCTCTCATCGTTAAAACAAGCTGGTGAGATAAACATGGTAAAATTCTTTTTATAGGATTAAAAGAACTGGAAAGCTAAATTAATGTCTGGTGAATTTCAACCAAATAAACCAATAAAATGAATAATTTGGGCCAAAGTTTAAAAAAGGTATTCTACTTTGGCGTGGTCGCAGGATGCAGTTTGTATTTTTATTCCTCTGTTAGGAGTTTCTTATGATTTTGTTTTCTAGTTCTATGTTTTGCTCTTTTCAATTGTTGGAAATGGCAAGACTGATACTAACAAAGGAAGAAATGAGTTTGGTTTATAAAGACCTGCATTTTAACAAGATTCACACAAAGAAATTATACCAGTAGTGAAATAAATAGCAGCCTTTACCAAAACAAAGCTGCTCATCTTCTCAGACGACTCACAAGTAACTAATGGTTGGCACGTTCTGAGTGATTAAGTTGCAGGAAGAAAACTATCTATGAAATCGTGGCTGTGTACTGCCAGTGACTCGATTAGCTTTTCAGAAGGATGTGATTAGGACCCGCACTGTACTGTAAAAACACAGAGCAGTGTACTAAGTACTTTAAAATACATGTGTTATTTTCTTTCCAGGCTATTAGCCAGACCTCATTTTCTACTTCGCTCTTATACCTTGAATATCGCACTTGTATAAACGCAAAGTCATTTTTCCTTTTAAAGGCTGTTGCAATGTAGTCTTAACATCAACACAGATAAACCAGCAAAGAGTTATCGGTTAAAAAGGAAGGATAAAGAATGTAGCCAAAGGAATTATGAAAAATGTCTGTAACTTAAATTAAACCAAAGAAAGGACAATTCCCATAATTATAGTTCAAGAAAAAAATTCAAGTAAAACAGTAATTTTAGTCTCCCTTGAGTATAAATTTACATTCAGCCTTCTCATGAAAAATCGAACACGCAAATGGAATCAGGACGTATTTTTTTTCCGATCATAGATGTTGCATACAGCATAAAGACTACCGAGTTTGTGGTTTCTGTAAATAACTGCTGTGGCACAGAAGAGAGGTAGACATTTGCAGTGACAGCAGTGAGCTGGAGGTGAACAGGCCTCTGAAGGACGCGCGGTCCCCCACACTCACCGCGGGTCGTCTTTGTTTCCGCAGAGCGTCTGCACCACCACCACTGCATTTTTGCACTTCTTCTTCCTGGCTTCCTTCTGCTGGGTCTTGACTGAGGCGTGGCAGTCGTATATGGCTGTAACTGGAAAAATTAGGACACGGCTTATACGGAAACGCTTTTTGTGCCTCGGATGGGGTAAGCATATTAATACACCCTTTCACGCTCTTGTTAAAATGACTTTGAACACTTATACAATGAAGATGCAGAGGGTGATGATCTCCAGGTTACTTTTCTTTATGTCCCCAACTTGGTATATGGAAGTGGAGATATATGAGGCTGGTCATTTTTGAATGTTCTCTGGACATTTGGAACTTTAAAAGGGAGTAAATACTGGATGACCATGTGGCTGGTCAGTTAACAGTTACCAGTGCCTATGTGGTGTGAGGTGAGACCTGAGATCTCTACGTGCAGAAGAGCAGAGCATTTTCTGCTAATATGTTCCGGCAGTGTGGCATATCTCACAATGTTCAGGGTGCAAGGCATGAGGTACCAGTCATGTACACTAGTCCTGTACTCCCGGCAAGAAGGAGTCCAGGAGGAGTCCATTCCAAGAGAGCTCAGAACAATTAAGACTGCAGCTGTTCATGTCACAGGGAGAAAGCCACTTAGAGAATGAAGGAAACCTCATGGCTGGTCAGTGGAGTCCTCAAAGGAAAAACAGAGTTGTTGAGGGACTGAGAATTAATTAATTTTTTGCCTATCTTTATTAGGAAAATTTTCTCTCAAATTGCCTTACGAAATGGACATCTTTAAGATCCATGCATTTCATAGGGCCGATTCTAATGTTTAATTAGATTTAATTAGTTTGGCTTAATTAGAATTAAATAGTTTAATTGATTCAAGAAACTAGTTTTGGAAAATCCCCGGGATTTTTTCAGGTTTGCCTTTGAGTTTTAAAACACTTGCACTAAAACAACTGAAGAATTTTGGACCAAATATACAATAAATACCTAATGTCCCAGAAGACTGGAGAACAGGATGCTACAGGGAGCCAGAAAAATCACAAATAAGTGGACTTATTACAATACCAGAATAATTCATGCTGAACAAAAATAGGATCAAGAACACTTAAAGGTTGGGCCGGCCCCATGGCTTAGCGGTTAAGTGCCCACGCTCCGCTACCGGCGGCCCCGGGGTTCGGATCCCCGGCGCACACCGACGCACCGCTTCTCCGGCCATGCTGAGGTCGAGTCCCACATACAGCAACTAGAAAGATGCGCAACTACTACATACAACTATCTACTGGGGCTTTGGGGGAAAGAGGAGGAAGATTGGCAATAGATGTTAGCTCAGAGCCGGTCTTCCTCAGCAAAAAGAGGAGGATTAGCATGGATGTTAGCTCAGGGCTGATCTTCCTCAAAAAAAAAAAAAAGTTTGAAAAAAAAAGAACACTTAAAGGTTATCTATCAAGTTTCGGCAAGGGGCCGTCACATCTGACTAATGTATTAGGGTCTTTAAACAGGCAGATGGGAAAGCCGTTAAAAGGAAACTGGAGGATGTATTCTATTTACACTGTCATAAAAGTTTTGTCTGGATTTCGTGTCAAAGATCTTCTAAAGTTGGACTGATATTGAATCGGGGGACACTTGTCGTGTCCCAAGAAATACAGAGTGCAGGTAAATGAGACTTGTCTTGTAGTATAGAGTGGTGATTTTCAGGATTGGTAACTACCTTATTTAACATGGTTACCAAAGACCTTGAGGAGGGTTCACAGCTGGTCTCCATGTTTATAGCTAACATTCAACTACTCCAGTAGGGACAAAGCTCAGCAGATGCTGTGAGACTCCCAGGTGGTCCACGGAGGGCAGAATGGCGGCATATGAGTTTCATTATGGCAAAGTGCAACGTAAGAAATTTGGAAATTTTTTTAATCTAAATTGTGTGGAATGAAGACTATTAACCCTTCAGCTGCTACCCAGGAGAGAATTTTTTGTTTCTAATGAACTTGATCTAGTCAATCAAAAAAGTCAACTAATGACATGCATGAAGGAGGAGGAGGAGAAGTGGGAGGAAGAGGAGGAGGAGAAAGAGCAGACAGGACATTATACATATATATGTAATATGCATATACACACATATATGCACGTGTGTGTATACATATATCTAGAGAGAGAGACCAGTATTTGTTAAAAAATACAGCGTGTCGGTCTGAGGTGCTCTCTGTAGTTTTCGACAGTAAACGTCATGAAGGAATGTAACGTCACTTGAAAAGACTCACAGAAGAGAACAGCAGGAAGGAGGGAAAATGACAGGAAGAAAGAAGGTGGGTGGAGGCGATGCAAGAAGGTGATTAGGTGACGGATTTTTCAACCTGAAAAGGCAAACATGGTCTTCCTGAAAAGAAGGCATGACCAAACCTTAAAACGAATTTAAACAGCATGGATTGGACTGAGCTCTATTCACCAAAACACAGGGAGGTTCCACTGAACTTGAGCAAGGTAAGTGCGGTTCATATAAACATAAACATGAAGATGTTAGGGCAGAAGTGGTGCAGGTATGCAGGAATTGGATTCCAAGAGAGCCTGAGCAATGCGTGCAGGTCCATGAAGAGAAGCTGGCATATGTTTCTGACCTTCATTCAAGATTGTTAAAGGAGGGTAACCAGGAAGCCCAAAAATCAGTTCTTTAGGGCCTTTAATCCTGTCCCTACATTCTTGTTACTATAAGCAAATCATAAAGAATTAAGTGATGATTTCTTTCTTTCTATCTTATAAGTACTACTTGATGTGGATCAGCATGTGGCCTACTGAATGTTCCACCTCTGTGATATTCCATCACACCAGAACATCCATTTGTTGCCTTTCTGATTTTATAACTATAAATTTCCTTTATAACAGTGTAAACCCCTAAGGAAAAAATAGCTTAAAAGATATACTAAATCTCAGTTATTAGTTTCCTTTTTACCCGTGTCAAATGTAGTGGTAACCTAGCAACATTGGAGAAGTACACGGAGTTAAAAACCCAGCTGTCGCTCTCATATTTTTGTACTTGAAAGAAATTGTGTAATGGAAATATACTTTATGAAGTGATTCATCCAAAGGTAGTTCCTCCGATTTAAGCATTTGGAGTTTGTCCTGGCTTTTCTGGAGCCAGTATGCACCGTGGTTAGAGATGAATGTGAAGTGTGACAATGCTTTTGTTGCAGGTTTACCAGCCTTAGTAGTGGCCACGTCAGTGGGCTTCACCAGGACGAGAGGATATGGCACTGATCATTAGTAAGTCCATCCACAGTGATAAAGTGTGCTTATGATTGAGTCAACCCTCACATAGGCTTCATTAGTCTTGGTTGGCACCACTGAGCTCAAATTTTGTCATTGAGTCATTAACAGGGGTGGAAATCGCATCCGTGAGGAATGAGGTAAGGTAGCTTAAATGCACACAGGTTAGGAAGTAAGTGCTGCAGCACTGTTCAGAATCCTCATTTCAATTTCCTGTGTCATGAGACCAGGGTATTTGATTTTTAAAATATTTCAGTATTTACTTGGCATTTTCAATCTCAAATACAATTTTTTAGAACTGAATAAATCTTGATAAGTTTACCTTTTAGAATGTGATTCTGATCTGAAGTTCTCATTTCATTGATGATAATATATGTTGGTATCAACCAAGTTTTTCATATTAGTTCAAATTTTGTTGCTATGTTAGGGTAATACATACTAAAACCTGTAGATCAAGGGAATCAATAGATTCCACATTAGAAAATGCCTGGGCTATGGAAGAAATTTGAAGGGAGAAAAAGGTATCCTATCATAATCATAGCTGTAATACTGATAAATTCTATGAGAGAATTTGTAAGTAAAGTTTATTTAGTATTTCAAATGTAAACAATGCACTTTCTTATTTTCCTCCATCTGCTCTTTCAAGTTGAGGAGGCAATTGAGAAGTGGAGAGAGAGATGTGCATCTTATTAGAAGCATAAGTTTTCAAGTGAGATGTTCTCTTTAATTGTCTTCGGGTTTGCTAATTAGGCCCTCTGGTGGGTTCATCCAAACTGAGAGAGTGTTTCGAGAGACAACACTTCACCTGCTCATCCCAAAGGAACTTCCAAAGAATTTAAAAGAGCTCATGTCCTCAGAGCACTTGCTTTTCTTAAGCAACCTATACTATTGAGAAAGCCCTGACAGCGTATGCTGTAGGGTAGCGCTTACACAGCACGACCACCCTCAGGCTAGTACTTTTTACAGTGATATGCCTCTTTTGGCATAAATCCAGAATTTGAAAGACACTATTGGGGATATGGAAAGAAGAAGGGTTATGGGTGATATGGTTCCAACTTTCAAGGAATTTATGATTAAAAGTGCATACAATACAGTGAGTAATGTATTAGTTTGAAGAGTAACTTGCACAAAAATGTAGTAGAAATTTAGTGGCAGTCTCAGAGACTCCAAACCAAAGTGTTCTATTCAAACTAAGGGCCTTTTCTCTAGAGGTTTTATTAAAAAAAATAAATAAATATTAACTTGTCAACTCCAAAGTGGGATAGTAGAATTTTATCTGTGCTCTTTTATGGCAAGGAGCAATAACTAAATGCAGACTTGGAATACGCACACACACACACACATTCATGTTATGCATATATTGATATATGTATTTGTGTCTGTGCATATATATCTAATAACTAGATTAAATATTTTAATTAGGATTTAGTTTACACTGAGTAACTTTCACCCTGTTAAGTGTATAGTTCTGTGAGTTTTAACAAATGCTTAAGTCATGTAAGTGCCACAACCAGTATAGAACCATTTATTCTCAGAACAGATAGAGAACAGTTGTTCATTGTTGTTAATTTTGGAGGCAGCATGCTGATTCTGTGGGCTGAGAAGTAGTACTGAAAGGGTCAAATGTCAAAAACAGTTGCATGAAGGGGCCAGCCCTGTGGCGTAGTGGCTAAGTTCACGTGCTCCACTTTGCCGGCCTGGGGTTCACAGGTTCAGATCTCGGGCATGGACCTACACACCGCCTATCAAACCACGCTGTGGTGGCATCCCAATATAAAGTAAAGGAAGATGGGCACGGATGTTAGCCCAAGGCCAATCTTCCTTAGCAAAAAGCAGAGGATTGGCAACAGATGTTAGTTCAGGGGTGATCTTCCTCACAAACAAAGAAACAAACAAAAAACAGATGTATTAAGTGGTGAGCGTGACCCTGCATTGGCTGTAATAGAACGGTTCCTTGTGTTTTCTCCATATTGACTCTCCTGGATCATGCATGTGAGGATGGGCCACCTTGCAAGGCCTCCGCTGCTGAGCCCCATGCCCTCTTCATGTCCCCCTGCTGTGAGGGAAGGGATGTTTCTACCTCAATGGTTACCATGTCTCTCGATGCAAACCTGCATCTCTTTGTGAGCTTAGTAATTGAAATAAACACAGCTGCACTTACATTTATTCAAAAGCTTAGGTTTAGTGAATTTTCTTAGTCGTCTGGGGAAAAAGTAAAATTAGAAGATAAAAAAGCATGCAAAATGTAGATTATCTGTTCCCAGTAATGATGGCTTTTAAACTGGTTCCTCCCAATATCTCAATGGCCTCAGGAAGAACAGGTAAATGGCACATCTAAAACTCTAAAAATACACTGTTCTTGCTTAAAAGTATATTTGAAAAATCCCATAATGGATATAAAGCAGCATTTTACAAAACTTAATAGTCACCTTTGTACTGAAAATCAGTATAAAAATCTCACTGCAAGAGTAATTTCTGTAAACTGTTTTAACTGCCTGAAAGAAAGGCCTTATAATAAAAAGTTTCTTTTCCATGAGTGTTATATAGCATTTCTCACTCGTAAAATGCTCTAATTTTAGCTTTTTCCACATCTCCTGTGCATTTTTTTTTTAAATTTACAAACCTTTGAAATGTGGCAAAATTCCAAGGCTAAGTGCATAATCCAAGTTCTTTGTATCATACTTTACTGGTTTAACACGTATCTCTAATTTTGGTTAGTTTTTATCTGATGTCATTTTCAGCTGCTGGCTCTCTCTCGAAGGAGGACTACTCTACGCTTTCGTCGGACCTGCAGCCGCTGTTGTCCTGGTAAACGCTGAAATCAACTTATTTTGTTTTCTTAGCAAAGAAAGGCTACTTTGTTTCAGTTAGAGTGACAATTTTGTATTTGTTGTGTAGAAATTTTAAAATTTAATGGATTATCACTTAAATTTGAATATCAACTGTTATTTGGTCCTATATTACTCAAAAATATTCTTAAAGACTGAAGAATATTGAACGTGGGAGTGAGGGATTTCTCTTACAGTAATTTCACATTTGTGACGAAGTTTGAGTAAGTTTCAATAAATTCTTCCTCATTAATGTACAGAATTTCATCGTTCATCGTTTCACCTGTATACTCTTCTGTATGATCTACATCGTTATTAAGATCTCTTAATCTTAGTAACTACTGCTGCAACCGAATATCAACAAGAAGATACATGTCCATATGGCAAAGTTTCCCCTCCTCAGTGCTGCGGACAGTTTGGACCACATATTCTTTATTGTGGCCTGTGCTGTGCATTTTAGGATGTTCAGCAGTGTCCCTGGCCTCCACTTACTAGGTACCAGTGGTCCCCCCAAGTTGTAACCATCAAAAATGTCTCTAGACATTCCCCAGTGTTCCCAGTGTTCCCTGGGGGTAAACATCACCCCCAGTGAGAACCCCTGCCATATGATATGCATAAGGATTTAAAATTTTTCTTTTGGGGATCACTAAATAATTCCTTTATGTGTTTATTTGTGGGACCATGGAAATTTCCTACCAATTTGCCTTTCCTTCTCTCTCTCTGAATTTATTGATTACAAATCTTTCTTGTTCAATGAATCTTTGAAAAATGTAAGGGAGGAAAGAAATGGTCTGAATTAAATACAAAGATCCATATTGCTGAGCAATTAGATTTCTAATTGGAAAATTACCCTTTGGTTTCTTGAACAATTCATTCAATAAATTAGAAGCTAGGGACGTCTTTCTTAATAACTCGATGTGACTTTTTCTTCTTTTAAAGTTTGCTCTACCCCCTCTAAACTATAACAGGGATCAGAAACTGAGCACGATTCACAAGAAAAATAAAATCCAGGCATGAGTGTTAGGGACGAGCATAGGGAAATTGAAACTATTAGACACATTTTTTTGTCTGCTGCATTGAATTTTAGTTAATCAGTTGAATTATTTCCCTGAGCTACTAGGTTAATATACATATAACCCTAAAATGAAGAAGCAAAGACTATGTGTATAATTGAAAGACCAAAGTCTTTGGAGTGGTGATGAATTCCCTCATGATTAAATTGCAGATTAATAGAATTCATGGAATACACTTTTTCTCTTGGTTCAAATAATGAGAAGTAGGAAGATGAATAAGTCTCATGATGAGACGGTGTCTGGTCAGGCAGCTATGAAGAGCGACATGTCCTAAGTCCCCACCTACCAGGTGCGTTGGACCTTCCCTACACCAGCAAGTAAACAGATCTCAGCTCTATATTTCATCTGGCCAAAGCCTATTGGGGGAAGTGGAATTTTTTCTTTTTCCTTGACTAGTCGTCCTGCTTAATTTAAAACAGATTTCTGTGAACTACTAGTTTCGGTGTAAAGCCTTCACCATTTGCACTGGGGGTTGCACCAAGATTCTGTGATCGTGGAGGGTAAAGGGCAGGAAGGCAAAAAAAAGAAAATATTTTCCTTGGTCATCTTGGTTTCAGCGTTGGCCTGGATTCCTTTATTGGGAAGTGCTGGTAGGTTAGAGAAGCGAGGGTGCACCTGATCGTTAGCAGCCACAAATAAACCACAGCTCTCTCCACAGCTTTGTACAATTTCACTTGAAAAAGAAAAATATGTGTGCTTTCATTTCAGCTGTATTATGCGAAAGATCTTTTAAGTGAGAGTAAGAGAGTCTTAGGAAGAAAATGCTGGGAAGTGTTCAATACAGCACATGATAAGAATTAGTGTTAGTGTCAGTCCATTTCTAAAAGATTCTGGTGAGTTGGATAGGCTTTCCCCTCTGTCTAGAAAAGCATGATACATCAAAATGCCCCCCACGCCACAGGAAAAATAGCCACACAACCCGAGGAATGTAGGCGTTCTGTTCTCCCTGTGGGGGCAATGACAAATCCTCCACACCTTCAGCTGCCAGGGCTCACCCTAAACTCACACTGTGAGACTCAAAATCTTTTGACGCTCAGGCATAGGCTAAAACTCATTGAGCCAATTGATTTTATTCAGGGGTGACTCAGAGGGAAGAAGGCCAGATTGGCATGTGGTATGGCACCATTTACAAGTTAGGCAATTGAATGTTAATTTCCTCAGTGTTAACTGCAAAGCATGGAAATTAAATGTACTTTAAAACTTTAAAGTAACACACCACTGTTAAATTGTTCCCTATTCCTTTATGCACTAATATAATATTTGAGAAGCGCTTCATATTGCTGCCATAGTGAATGTGTAATTCTGCAATGGTTATAAATTGATGAAAGAGGGTTTTCAGGAGAAACAGGAACCTGATTCCCTTCAATATCATTGAAAGGTCAACCTTTGTTTCTGTTTGACAGGTCAACATGGTGATTGGCATTTTGGTATTTAATAAACTTGTTTCCAGAGATGGGATCCTAGATAAAAAGCTCAAACACAGAGCCGGGTAAGCTGCAATTGGTGGAATCTGAAGGTTCTTGACCAGTGAGTCCCATGCTCCAATTCCAGATCCTCACCGACTGCGTTTGACTGTGCCTGGAATTTCGTCCCTGATGAACCAGTGTGTCTGGTGGATTCTGCCACTGAAGTTCCAAAGTGCTCTTCTTAAGTAATGTGACCCAAATCTGAAACTAATTAAAAAGACCATTAAGAAAATCTGGGTTGGTATGTGCATAGTGCCTGTTTGTAAGATAAGAGGATGAAATGTTAGGCTAGACTTAAAATACTGGTTCTTAGGTGAGGGTTTTTTAAAGCCCCCTAGTTTGGGTTGCAAAGGCCAGGAGGGTAGATTGAACATATCATCAGTATGGGACATAACTGAATGGGGACAAGCAAACTTTAGCAGAGTGAAAATACTGCTTTTTTTTGATTAATTGTATATATCAGAAAAATCCTTCACTTGCAAAACACTGTTCTTATCATATATTTTCATTCTTCATGACATTTTGACTATAACTTTCTAGAAAGAGTTATTCATAATTTTCACTTGCACATTTTAACCACTTATAAAATTTAGAAAAGCATGTCCTTTATTTTACAGTTATTATAATATCACTGTACCTAACGACTTAACGTTTCATAAGCAGATTGATCGCAGCTTTTCAAGGTTACATCGTCACCTCATCATACAAATTTGTAGAAACCGGAATGAAATATTAATGCCTTTGAATTTCCCTTTGTATCTTTTCTTATAAAAAGTTTATAGCTTTCTCCTTTCTGTTTAATGGTAACTCCATTCAAAACTCACCCAACAATTGTTCTCATTTCTTTAATAATTTATGGCATTATTTAATAGTCATAGTATCTGATCACCTACTGGTGAGATTTAAGTCCTTTGTGTTTTTATAATCTATGTAATGATTTGTAAGATGAAATAGTCCAGGTGTTTTTTTCCTAGTAAAAGACTAGGTTTAATGGCTTTCAATATAAAAATTTGATATCATTCATATCAAACATTAGCACTGCAGTGGTATAATAAAAACGTCATTGGAGGTTCCTTCCTAAGGGGTGAATCACTTCACATTTAGAGGCTTTTTTTCGCTTCAGATGAGTCTCCATAGCACCCTTAAATAAGCAGACTTGAACTTGTACAGACATTGAGCTTTCTACACCGTTTGAACTTGAAGCTTTCACGCTATTGCTCTTGTTAGTCTGTCACATACTGTTGGAATTGGAGCAATAGCTTCTTCAGTTATTTCTGTCCAGATTAATCATGTAAGAATAAATTGATTATACTGAGTACTGGGTATGGAAACTCAGTTCTGCCACTAGTGGTGTAATCTTCTGTAATTTTTTTTTTTAATTGCGGAGGTGGGTGGTTAGTGGTTAGGATAAAGCTTTGAAGTTAAAAAAAAAAAAATACTCAGTATCTAGCTCTGCAGTTTACTACCTGTGTGTGTCTTTGGGCATGTTATTTAACCTTTCTGCAGCTCAATCTTCTCACCCGTTGAATGCGGATAACAACTCTTGCCTTGTAATAGAGTATATGAAATATAACGTGTATAAAGCATTCATTAGAGTCTCTAGCAAAGAGCAAGCACTCACTCAACAAATGGTGGCTATTGTTGTGATGAGTGAGATGAAGAAGCCAAGCTGGACAGGTTGTTTCCAAAGGACCCTGACTTCTGTCAATCAAGCCTCTGAGACTCCATCATTCATAACACTGAGGCCAGAAAAAGAGATGGGGTCATCGGAATGAGTATAATGCTAAAGATTTACTAAATTTGCAGTCAGTATTTTTTTCTCATTTAATTATTTTATATGTAATATCCAGTTTGATTCACATAGCTCTTTGTAAGAGATAACATAGGCTTAGGAGAAATGACAGTATTGTCACATGAATTTAGAAATTATCCACTTCAATCTACATATTAATTTTAAATCCTCTATTTCTATAAGTATGATTAGAAGTTACGTCTGTTTTACTGGCAAAACTGAATCAGTGTTTTTCTGGTTCAAAGGCCACTGCAGGAGAAATAGAAACGTTGTTAATATATGTTATAAAAGCAGAATGCTGGTTACCATCCAAAGCAGAAAGGAACTCTTAACAGAATAATTACTGTAGGTTTAAAAAAAAAAATTCTATAATATAAAGTGCTATTTTAGCTTAAGTATTTATAGACTGAAATCTTCTCTCTATTCCCAAGTGTAACTGAAGGAAATTTTTTAGAAGAAAATAGTGTTTGAAGCTAATTTTAGTTCACAGAGAAGCAGTGAGAACAATAATGAAGAAGGACTGCAGTGAAGAACAAATAATCAGAATTAACTAAAGAAACATTGAGCTAGAAGCTAATTGATTAACTGAAAAATTGATCCCCCTAATTGTAAATATTGACCATTTAAGGTTGTTTGAATATACATTTATATCAAGCATTTTTTTGGAAACATTATTTAGGATCAAATACGGTACCAACACGGTCCTCCTCCCATTTTTTCTATTTCTTTGTTCCCTCTCTTCTTTTGATAATCAGTTATTAGAAACTTCCAAGCATACAGTTTATGCTCAATAAGTATTTATAAAGAAATGAGTGAATGAATATTTAATATATAATACAATAGCTTAACAACTTTTTTGTGTTTGTTTTTGTTTTTGTTTTTGTTTTTGTGAGGAAGATCAGCCCTGAGCTAACATCTGCCAATCCTCCTCTTTTTGCTGAGGAAGACTGGCCCTGGGCTAACATCTGTGCCCATCTTCCTCCACTCTATATGGGACACCGCCATGGCTTGACAAGCAGTGCTTGGTATGTGCCTGGGATCCAAACCCTGGGCTGCTGCCTGGAGCGCGTGCACTTAACCGCTACAGCACTGGGCCAGTTCCCTTGACAAGTTTTATAATACCCAAACTATATTAAATTTTTCTAATACATAAAATATATTTACCAAGGGAGGATTTATTGCAAATATCAACACATATAAAATGATACCTGGAAAGAATGAAAACAAGATAAAATGGCATGTGTCTTTTTAGAACATCTCAAAGAGAATATTTCATTTTCTCTCTTTTTCTGCAATGGAACTTTCTTATCTACTATTTTAAACTGCTTTATCTTATCTATCTGAAATTAAGGAGACTACCAGGATCTTGTACAAATTCATGAGATTCTTCCAAATGGAGGGGGTATTTTTTTTTCAGAGAATTTTTTATAGTATTAGCAATAAACCAATCAGACAAAAAAACTTATTTCTAAGGAAAAGAAAAAGAAAATTGGGAAGGGAAGGAGAACCTGTAGGCTTCCAGACCCTGCAGGAGTAGACAGGGTAAGTTGGGGAGAGCATGAAATGACGTTGTGTTCCTGCTCTGGTTACATCTGAACTTATGGGAAATTCAATTTTATTAACTGTTAGCACTTTTTGTTTTATAAATGCATTGCCCTTATAACAAAGAAACAAGATTTTATTTTTCCTTGCAGCAACTCAAGTTAGCATCTATGTGTTCTTCCTATTATATTAATTTCTGTAGTGGTCAGACAAACTAGGGGAAAATAGTAGATCTCTCTGGGTAACCCATCTTTCCTCTGCTCCATTCACATCTAATCACAGCATTCCAAAGGTGCCAACCAATTAATATCAAGCATAGTTTTCAACCATTAGCTCCGACTCAGGGAAGTATAGGTGGGCCTTTTAGTGAGTCGCAAATAAATCCCAAGTAAAGAGAAATGAGCATTTCAAATACTGGCTTAAAATTTATTTTCCGAAAAAACCTATACTTAGATCAAATTACAGTTTTTCAGGGGTAAAATACTTGCATATATTGTGTACTAAAATTATTTTTTAGTAATCTTTGGCTTTTCAATCTTGTTTTAGAGCCTAGAGGCATAGCACACTTAAATTCAGAAAGATAGCCACATCCATGTTCAAAGCACAAACACCGAATAGCCTATCTTCTGTGATGAAGGAAGCAATAAATGACTAAGCCATGCCTTTTTAATGTTAATCTGGTGACACTTAACAAGATTGAAGACACTCACATGAATAGTTAGAACAGTGGTGCTCATTCCTGCTCGTTCATCAGGATAATCTATGGAGCTTTACAAAATACAGATGCCTGGGTCCCATTAAATTACAGTCTTTGGGCTTGAGTGTATACAGCTGACGCACAGCCACAGTGGAGAATACTGGTCTGGTTACTCTTTGAGAGTCGTTTCAAACATATTGGCATACCCATTGAGACATTCATGAACCAAACTGGATAGACTGTTGGTTACTTATTATTTTGAAAAGTTTGGACACATGGCTAGTCCATATGGCCTGGGTTGAATCAGTAAAGGGAATGATTTAGTATCATATTCCCCACCCCAACATCTAACTCTGAATGTGTTGGTTTTTCTCATGGGTCTACTGATCAATCTACTTACTTGGTAGCTTTCAGATTTATTATATCACCCAAGCACTATTCCCAAATGCGTGCACTTTTTAAAAGAAACCAGACATTCTGATTTATGAGCCTCTTATGATTTTCTCTGCTACTTTTATTATACACATGGTACTGCAAGTCCACTATAATATTATTTTTTTAAAAACCTGCTGGGCAAACTTATATTTTAGATGTAAACACCACATGGAGATGGACAAGAGAAGTATACCACAATTATTTAAAGATGCTTTGAATTTTGATTCAAGTAATTTCTTTCTGGTTTTTCCTGAAAGGATTATGTTCTGATAAACCAGCCATTTTCAAAGGACTCTTTTCTAAAGCAAAATGTGTGTAAAGTTTTTCTATGTAGTGTGACTGCTTTTATGATATAGTAGATTGGATCTGAATTTACCTGCAAAATCTTCTAGACTAGAATGGACCATTTAAATGCTATTAGGTTGGAGTCTATCACAAAATGTCCAGAAAGACTAGTTTGAGCTTAATGTCTATGTTGAATGTGTTTTATTAAAGCAGAAAACTATTACCCTTTTTTATTGACTAATATTTCATCAAATTTCATCAGCCCCTATATTCAGATCATTCTAAAATGTAGACAATGCATTGATGCTCTAAGAAATTTTAAAATATGAATATGTTAAGATAAAGGCTACATCTTCCACAAATGATTAAAGACCTAAAATATGTATCTGCCAATATTGGACTTCTGAGATATGTGTTTACATTTCAGAAGTTTTAGTTGATATTATGTGCCTTCTGCAAATGGCAATAAAAATCTTTGAAGCTGGGAGTCCTCACATGTTTGATTAGGAGGGGTCTGAATAAAGGGTTTCACTGTATGTCTACACAAACACATGCTTATGTTTAATTCAGTGTATTGGGCAACTTTGATCTGTAGACACAAGGACCATTTATGGTATAAATGGTGGAAATATGCTTCACATGCAACAAAGGCCCATCTTATTAAAAGGTAAATGTTACAAAAATTATGCATCTTTAAAATTATGTACAATATTCATCTTTGATAAATATACTTCTTTGCATGAAATTGTATTTAAAAGCTAACTTGCAGTAGCAACTTTTTTTTTGGTGACAATTCAATATTTTGTTCTTTTTGTGGGTGTTCTGTTTGTTTGCAGTCAGATGAGCGAGCCTCATAGCGGTTTGACGCTCAAATGTGCCAAGTGTGGAGTAGTTTCAACCACAGCTTTGTCAGCCACCACCGCCAGTAACGCCATGTTAGTCCCAATCATTTACATCTTCTTGTTGCAAATCTTTTACAGTGCATGTGAGAAAATGCTATGATGGAAAAAAAATCATGTTTGCTAATATTAGAGCTAAGAGCATACTTAAATATTTATAATTGGCAACTGCCTTTATAATATTGTGGGGTTGTCTGTAAAAAAAAATAAATAAAACTATCGAATATTATCTGCTTTGTGGTTTCCAAGTTAATGGCCTTGGTGCCACATACCAGAATGTTTTGTTGAACGGGGGTTTGGTTATCACCTGGGGTGTGACATGCAGCTGCATAATGTTGCTCTCTCTGTCTGTCAACAGGGCGTCTCTGTGGAGCTCCTGCGTAGTGTTGCCCCTTCTGGCTCTGACATGGATGTCTGCGGTCCTGGCCATGACAGACAAACGCTCCATATTGTTTCAAATACTTTTTGCCGTGTTTGATTCACTGCAAGGCTTCGTGATAGTTATGGTGCACTGCATTCTTCGGAGAGAGGTGAGAAATATCCTTCTTGTGGCAGAGAGGAATGATGGTTAGAAGAGTATTTGGCTTGTTAGCAAATAAGACCTTTTATTTTAATATCTTCATCTTCGGATTAGAGCTGGTCTCCTCTAAAGGCAATCAATCGTTTGGGAGTCAAAGCTAAAGGGAGGCTTTAAGGCAAGGTCCAAGAGGGCTCCTTGGACTCTGAAAGTGACAATTAAAACAGATGGCACTATGCAAGGGAAAACACAGCCCCAGGGGCCAAGAGCCCTGGAGAGCAGATGCAAGGGAGGCTATGATGGAGTCATAGGTGTGGATAAGAGGGGAGGGTACAGTTCATAAACGTAAATCAGTGGCACGTCTTAAACCCGTTCCCTAACTCACGTGTCTACACACAGCATATCCTCAGACTTAACTAATTTCATTTTAGATGGGAAATGTTGAAGATTAATGAACAGCTCTTTTGTCTCTATACTGAATTGTGATTAAGATTACTAAAGATGAATGGTTTTGATATGGATGTTTATGCTCAGAAAATACAAAGAAATGTACACAGTGGAGAATGATAGGCAGTAATTGTCCCCAAGAACTGTAGATCTATAATCCTAGCATTTCTCCAGATCGTGGTTGAGGTTGTCCCCAGAGCGGGGGAAAAAGTCATTCTTCACGAGTTGAAGCACTAACCTGCACCAAATCCATCCAGAACAGTGATAGATTTCAGACCTGAGCTGTTTAGGGATAAAATATTGTTTTCCAACTGGCAGAAAAATTATTCTGCATGCTTGCAAGCAGTGACACAGTATTTACAAGGTTTATGAGTCATTTTAGCATTTACTCTGGGGATGGTGGGGCAACAAAAACACACAAGGACTCAGTGCCATGCTCGTAATTTTGAGAAAACAGTCTACGGTGTCGTTCTGCTTGTTTGAGAACTTTATTACGATGTACACATTGTAAAAAGACACATGCTCGTATGCGTACACACTACATAGTTTTCAGTGATATGTGAGGGTAACCAGAGATTTTTACCTCATGTACCAGATGGGGAGAACTGTATTTCTGAGCTACTTTAGTATGATACAGATGTCAGCAATAAACCCACATGTGTATTCTCAGAACCTTATATGATACAAAACAATGAAAACAGAAGAAGAGTGACCTCACATTGCATGGGGGGGTGGTTATTTCATCTTTTCAATAATCTGATTTAGTCAAAGTTGCCAAGCCTTACTATTCCCTCATGACAAATTTCTACCTAGAGTATCAGCGTTAAAAATCTCCCAGGTGTCAGGCCTGGCCTGGTGGTGTAGTAGTTAAGTTCGCAAGCTCTGCTTTGGCAGCCCAGGGTTTGGGGCATGGGGGGAGTGGTTCGAATCCCGGGCATGAACCCACACACCACTGATCAAGCCATGCTGTGGAGGCATCCCACATGTAACATAGCACAGATGTCAGCTCAGGGACAATTTTCTTCAAACAAAAACAGGAAGATTGGCAACAGATGTTAGCTCAGGGCCAGTCTTCCTCACCAAAAAAAAAAAAAAAAGAAAAGGAAAAAAAATCTCCTAGGTATCAAATGCTTTATAGACCAAAGTTAAGTGAAAATTAAAAAGAAATTGAATTATTTAGGGCGATGTTTTTCTCCAACTATAACTATCTTGTGGTTCTTCTGTATTAATACTATCTCTAATATGTTTATGTAACAAAATTGTTCTAAATGAGTAGACACGTGATGTATTTTTGATTGGTGATTAAGGATGAACAGTTGTGGATTTTAAGCAAGATACATGATATATCTGCATGCAGTTTTCAGAAGATATTAATTCTGTAGGTGTTAAAGAGAAGAAAATGTCCCATGTATTTTTCTTGAGAAATAAGCTTTTTAGATAGCCGTAGGCTATGATCAAAATATTCAGGTTTTAAAGTGACAGATATTTTGATGGCTTATTATCAAATTTTTGCTGCTTACATGAAGAAAAATATTTGGCACAAAAATTCATTTCCGTCAAAACTCTTTCATACTTGCTAATTGAACTAATAACTGTCAAAAACATGATTCAAGGGTAATTAAATCAAATCCTATAATAAATGCTTCTGCTAAAATAGATATCTGTAAATATATGTTTTCTGTATAAATGGGGAATAAAATTATGGATATTGGCCTTGTTATTGTTGCATTTTCGATGATTAGTTCAAATTCAATAATTTTATGGCTGATAAATTAATAACCAAGTATCATAACTCTCTCTCATTCCAATACTGAAATGAAAAATAGCATAGCCAGTACTTTTGCATTGACCCTTAAAAATACCCTATAACATTGCTGTAAATAAGTACAGCAGATTTCGGTTATAGAGCAAGTATCTTTCAGAATTCCTCTGAGGAAGTTGTTACTGAGAAACCAAAAGAACTTGGTTTTCCATGGTTTTGCAAATCCCCAGGACCACGTCATAAGGAGGCCTCATTGGGTTTTCAAAAATTCTTTTTGACCGTCTAATGTATGTTGCCTGACACTAGGGGTGACTGTGTCTCATGTGACCTGTGGTCACACTCTCCTAACATTAACCACAGTCCAGGAGAAATAGAAGCATTTTTCCGTAGCCTCCGTGTCTCCTTTGAACAACATTCCATAAAAACGCACCAGTGCAAATGGACTGGAGAGCTCCCTGTAAAATATTGGGCAATGACTCATATCTATTAATGTGCTCGATAATCCCATAGGAGATCCTAGGAGTACAGTTTCATCTTTACTGCTTTTTTCACTTTAAAATATTTTCTCACAAAAATTCAAGATAATTCGTATGGATTTTTCTTTCTTAAAAATGTATAAGCAACGTAAGAAATATTTCCTTCAACTTAGAGAGAGACTGGATACAGATATACATGTTTCTATTTCTATGTATTTTTGATACACACTAACATAATTTGGTTGTTCTTAGTCTTTAATGATTGTTCCAGTATGAGTTTGAAAGGCTTCACCCATATTTACTTATTCAATCTTCCTGTAAAGGAGGCGGGTGTCCACAGGGGAGGCATAGAGCCTTGCAGCTTCAGAAGGAGAAGAGAAATGAAATACTGTAACTGCGACATTTTAAACGTGATGTGTATGGGGCTTAATTTATTTTAAAAGTGTCTTTGCTTTTACTGGGTCCAATTTTAAAACCCAAATCATTTCAAGTCAGGAGGGAAGGGAGAAATGATCACTGCTACTATCAACTCAATTATATTCCACTTTAAAAAAAAAAAGCAATTTTTTTTATTTGCTTAACAATTTATTGTGACCTCTAGAGCTGACATCTTAATATTTAAATTTCATAAAATTTGTATTCTTAAAAATACAGTTTCTTCCTCTTGGGCACCTTTTTCTTTTGAAATGCTTATGTAAATGCCTCTAACAAAAGAGAAAATAAAAAGCGGGCATAAGAAGTAAAAAAAAAAAATTACACCATCTGATTTATCACAACACATTACTTTCAGCAACAAAATCTAGATCTTGGAAGCTAATATGTATGATACATAATAAGACAGAATCTAATAGAATAAATATGAATGCCTCTTTTGTTTATCCATCATTTCTTGATTAGAATTCACTTGCATTAAGCACATAACGAAATCTACTATTTACTATTCTCCACATTGCTATGGAAATTCAAACTACACGAGTTCTGAAACCTTGGAAATAGTTGCTGTTGCTAGGAAACTGCTTTCTTGGTGCTGCACATTCTTCTCATCTCTCCTGTCACTGGCTGTGCCTGGCTCTAAGACAATCTTACAGCTTGGTGTCAGAGGAGGAAAATAACAAGATTGTGATACAAAATAAGCTACAATAAAACCCTTTCACTAAATGGAAGGAGAAAAGGACAGTGCTTAAATGGACAATTGCGTTGTATCAGTAGGTAAGGCTCCTGAGCTGTTCCGTAGCATCCATAAGAGGGCCAAGCTGCTCTTCTCTCCCCGCCCCAGCTCTGGCAGGAGGGCCAGGCTGCACCAGATGAGGTCCCAGAATCTTCGCCCAAACCCATGAAAGGATTTTTGTAGCAAAATGCTTAAAATAAAAATGAACAGCTTTTCCTTTCTTTCTTTCTCTCACTCCCCTCCACCTTTTTTTTTTTTTTTTGCCAATTTCCAAGTTAGTTTTAATATTTCCATGAAGACTACAGGTAAACAAAATACTTTATAAGTACATGACAGTGAATATATAAAACAGACAAGCATCCTTACCTGTCTAATATGAAGTCAATACTCTCCCCAAATAAATGATTTTAAAAAATAAATGAAGCCCGCAGTGGTGAAATAACTAGACAGCAATTTGAAAAGAGGTCGTATGACATATAATATGGTTCATATGGAGAGCTGCATGGATCTCTGTGCTTGACTGTTTACAGGGAAGTTGGGTCTGACTCATTACCATGGAAGTGTGGCTCCGTGCCCTTCCTTAAGGTAGGACTAGGATTTCAGCTGGTCTTTGAAGACAAGGGAGTGGGTGATAGAAGACTTCAGAACTTAACTGGTTTCCGAGGGGAAAATGAGACTGGAGGATTAAGGAAGCGAAGGTTTCAAGTAGAGGAAGATCGAGGTTATTGGGCATGCGGTTTCCATGGAATGGAGCTAGAGTGAGTAGCAGAGAGTACAGTCTTCTCTGGGACCACCCGGGGCACATGGAGGCATAAAGCAAGTGACGTGATCCTGGACACCAGAGTGGTTTTTGTTTTTTGCATGGCTATAACTGTAGCACCAGGATAAAGACAAAACTGACGACTTTTGAGGGCATAGCATTAATTAAGTGATGTTTTAGAGCTTTCTCATTGGGATGCTCAGCGGGCCACCGTAAGAAGCCACTGTGAGTGGTGTCATGGACAAAGTTCGCTAGATTTTGTGGTTAGTGAGTGGGCCAGGGTGGGAGATCCTAACATCTGTAGCTTGCTCAAGAAGGACAAGGATTCAAGAAGGAAAAGGGCGAGGGGTGTGGGTTGCTAAGAGCTTTATCTTTGTCAGGCTGAAGTGAAGGTTCAAAA